GATGGAGTGCGCGCCAAAACTGCGCGACTTCACGGCCCCTCCGTCCGTTCTGTTGCACCATCAATTCCGGCGACTTCTGTGCGCCCCGCCCGCTACTACCGCAAGGCAAAACAGTGGACACGACCCTTCCGCCTTGCTTGCCGCATTCTCCACCCGACCTCCCCTGAATGAATTGATCGGTTGCTGTGACACTCTCACCAGTGTCTCCAGCGGCAGCAGACTGCTGTACGCAAGCACTGCCGAACGTACTACGAAGAGAGTTGGTGTCTTGGAATGCACCAAACCCACCTGCAGCAGGGACCTCCACATCCCGCACCAGGGCGCCTTCCACGCCCGACCTACTGCTGCTCTCTCCTCCAGCAGTGTCGCCCTCCCTGACGACCACCGCAGGACACAGCTCTCGGTGGCTGCTAGGCGAAACCCCCAATTCCGCCGCACCCGCGGCGCCCTCTTGCAGCGCCGCCNCTCTCGGTGGCTTCTCGACGGAACCCCCAATTCCGCCGCACCCGCGGCGCCCTCTTGCAGCGCCGCCGACCTCTCCTGGCCTTGCCCTTCCGACTCGGCCTGCAGTAGCGATGGCAGCATGCCCATCATCTCCTGCACCTCTGTCATCTCTACTCGTTCAGTTACTGCCCCGTTCCAGTCAGAAAGCGTCCAGTTCAGAGTTGCGTACCCTGGCTGCTGGAACCCCGCTGCCTCTCGCTTGGCATAGCCCGCACCGTCTTGCGGATCCTCCCGGGAGGACGAACGCTAGCGTGTTCGTGAGCCCTAGCCCTGTTAAGGGCCGGCGGACTTGGGGCTGCTGTTTAACTGTGTGTATTAGCTCGCATGAGAGAGGAGAGAGGGAGAAGGAGGAGAGGCCCCAATTCTCGAGGCTCAGGGCCCATAGGTAGGGCTAGGCGGGGACGTAATATATAATTTTTCGCGCGAAGCGCGAAAAAAAGATCAGAGGCGTTTGCACTGTATTTTTTATTTTTTTTGGACACACCGCTGATCCACTGCTGTTTGTAGGCCTTTCTCCTCGAACTGTGAGCCGATTTCGAAACGGTTTCTTGCACTGCATTCTCAGGCACATCTAGCACACCGTCCAACTCAATATCGTTGTTGAAAGACAGCAAATGGTGCCGGAAAAAAAAAAAAGCACCACACACTAACACACATCGCCTGGGCAGCCGTTGTGCGGTATCTGCTGCCTTAATCGTGGGCCATTTGTAATTTCCTTGACAATCCAAAATTCTGGGCGACTGCCATACAAGTGTGCACTTTTCACTGACCGAACGGCCTTTTGAACCGGTAGGCAAATATTTACATTTTTCGTTATGTGTCCAGCTCTTCTCGACCCGGCAGTACAGGCTAACCAACGCCATCCTCCACGTGTGCGTATGAGCCCTTGCATACATCGCACGGGCAGGGCAAAAACGTCCGCTTTCTTTGCTTCGGGTTCCAGACTTTGTCCGACTCTGGACGCCGCAAGCTCTGGTCCACTGAACATTTTTTCGCCGGTTCAACGTCGGGCTGGGGCGCTGAACCTTTCGCCTTATGTCCACGGCGATTCCCAGGGTGTTCAGCACGATATGCACCCTTGTGGTGTCCGCATTCGGTGCAGGCCCTGAACTGCGGCAAAGCCGCCCGCGCCGCCCCCGCCGCCCCCGCCGCCCCAGACCCAGACCCAGCCGAGATCGGCGACCTCTCTACCGGGTCACCTCCTTCCTCGGAGGAGCCCCCTACAACCACGCCCTGACCGCTGCCTGCCCCCCCCTCCCTTGCCGCCGCCCTCATCGCCGCCATCGCGGCGTCCGCGACCGCGGCGGAAGCAGTCAGTAGTCCGCCGACACCGCGGTTGGGGGCAGGCATTTGCGGCGAGCGGATGGACCCGACGGCATCATCGGGTTGCCTCAGCGACGCCGTGAGCCGTCCAATCGGTCCGTGAACGGGCCCGAGGGTGTTGAAGAAGTTCGCCGAACTCGTGAACTGCTTGTAGTAGTTCTGGAGGTGGCCCGTCGTCTTCCTGTTGATGGGCGCATATTCTTCCTGGCCCGACTCGATGCGCTGGCACCATCGGTTCCAGTCCACCACCATTTTGGAGAAGTCAATCCTCTGATGGTCACGAGACGATGAACCGCCACCTGGTCGGAAGTACTGGAAGATCTCATTTCGAAACTTCTCTTTTTCTGCAGGCGTGCTGACCGGCGTAACCGGGGTCGAGAAGCGCATCAGAGACGCCAGGTGTCGAGCGGAGGGAAGCAGCTGGAGGGCATGCAGTCTGTGGTCGACGCTGCCGTTCATGTCGGTGCTGGTGGCACCTCCGTCGGAAGGCTCTGGGCTGAAGCTGTCCTCGACGTCCGCCCCCGCCGGCTTGCCATCGAACGTCAGTACGCTGGCTGCCAAGCCTGCCCTCTCGCCGCTGTCTTCGAAGTCCGCCGGAGCAACCCACCCAGAGAAGAGCGGCTGATCAGGGTACCACTCAGCAGTGGCACGCTGGATGTGGTCGATCATGTACTGGTGGCTGAAACCCCCAATTTCCGCTGCCATGCCGCGGTTCTCGACTGCCCTGCTGATGTTCCAACGGTGGTTGAACTCCATCAAGACCGTGTGGCACACCTCCGGAGATGCGCAGAAGGCCGCCAAGAGGGTTTTGAGATACCGGTGGTACCCCTGAAACGGTAGGAAGGCGGTAGGAAGTGGTCGTGGCGTACGAGTTTATTTTGCTGTTTCGTTCCTAAAGTACCATACCAAACACTACGATGTCTGCGTACTGCTGCATCTACATTCGATGCTGACATGCTGACCCCACCGACAGGATATGCATCTTGATGGAAGGTCACGTACGGGAAAAAGTACAGAAAAGAGATTCAATCGAACACAGGAACAAGCTGCCGAAGCATACTTAACGGAGACCATTTGACACAAGCACCACTCACCTCCGTGCTGTTGGTGCCCCGAACGCAACGGAATCGCGTGAGTCCAGTGGATGTCTTACCACGCTCGAAGTAGAGTGGGACTCCAACGGGGTCGCTGAAGCATCCGAGCCGAATGTGCTCTCGCAGCAACCCAACAGCCTTCATCGCTGCCGGCGAGAGGAGCACTTGACCAGTCTTGGCGTCCCTGATATCCTTGCAAGCACTGATCACAGCATCAAACCGTGCCAGGAGGACCTCTGGGGCGGGAACACGACGCCTTGCGTTCTTCAAGAAGAAGCCCCAATCCTTGGCCTTCATGTTCTGGATGTCTGCAGCACTTTTCCCCTCGTTCTGCAGCACGCGCTCTGCGGCCTTGATGTCGGCCTGGTTCACCATGAAGATGGCATCGCGCAAGAGGGCGCAGAGCAGGAAGAACGCACCATGCCCCTTAGGAACCCACTTGGTGACGCGAGTTATCCCATGGAACGGATCCAACCGCACAGGCAAAGATGATGCCGCAGCGGGTTTTTTCGAGCTCGTCGGAGGGTTCGAGGCAGCGCCAGGCAGAGCGGAATCACCCGAAGCTGCGCCGGTGGCGGTAGAAGATGCTACAGCTTCGACGTCGTCAACCGAGGAGTCGAGATCGAGCGGCTCCTCGTCCTCCACGCCATCATCCTCTGCCACATCTACGCTGTCGATGACATCTGATAGAGAAAGCAGAGAGAAATTGTATTTGAAAGGTGCACGCGCGTAGACAGTCAGAGTTGAACACAATGTCGCCGATCGGCATATAGGACGTATTGTAGCGGCTCCCCGCTCCCTCTCCCTTAAAAACAGTAAATACCACAGCGCGGGCAGGAATGTACAAAATTGCTGCACAAAAACAAAAAACAAAAACTCACCCCTTCCCTGCACCACCTTCCCCATCGGGAGATTGTCGAGGCTGAAGTTGTCGGTATACTCGACGCCGCCGTCGTCCACCACACGGTGGAGCGGAGGTTTGTAGGAATCCGCATCCCGCATGTGGTCAAGGTCCCACAACACCATGCCCTCGAATTCGCCGCATTCAGCAACCTCCGGAGACTCGTCGCCAACCTTCTTTCCCCCCCCCCCAGTCGTGGCGCCGTGCTTTGGAAATGCTATCTTGGGTGCAGCCTGTCCTATCGTACAACGTCGACTTCCATTTCCCTCCGGCGACGGCGGCGACTTGGCGTACTGAAAGAAGGCGCTCGGAACCTTCGCTTCGGAAATCTTCACCACCACGCTCTGCCTCCTCCCGGAAAGACCTTGTAGCCTGGCAGAACTTTGCCAGTGACGAAGGGCGGCCTCCGCGGTGGCGTCCGACACCACGTGACCTACCGCCACGCAGGCGGAATGGCTCGCGTTGTAGAGGCGCACCTGTAGTACGCGCAGAGGGCAAAAGAACGAGGACAAGCGTTTTTGCTTGGGTTTGAGCACAAATTTGGAACCTGCCATAATTCTTTGTTGTCGGTCCACATCAAAGTACGGCCGATAGCACAATGCGAAGGCGCTCACCTTCAAGCCGATCGCCGGGTCGAACGGTGAAGAAGGCACGGACGTGACTGAGCTGGAGGGCATGCAGTCTGTGATCGGACGTGAACACGGGGACTCCGCACTATCATGCAAAGCCTCTCAGCACATACCCTTCAAGTTGTCCCAGCTGCGTCCTACGTATCGGCTACTTTCGACTATCTACTTCTACGCACGAACACCAAATAGCCTATACAATTGATTTGCACTGCTTTCCTCGACCCCCGTACTCAACCCCGATTCTCACTACTACCGACGGCTGCACGTAAGGCCACTCCCTAGAAGCGAAATGTATCCAGCGGCCGATTCAGGAGGGGTTGGCACCGGGGTCTTTTTCTTGAGGTGTGACGCCACATGTTCGTTGAGATGCTGCGCATGCTCTTTGAAGGATATCGGAAGACCTCAAACTCCGCAGCTCTTCAATGCCTTTCCAGAAATCGTGAGACAGAGGCTCGTTGTTTTTTAGAAGGTGCTTCTTGATGTCCCCGAGCTGGTCGACAGTGCTTGTTGATCTCTGAGGGTGACCAGCTTGGTCAAGTCCTCACGAGAGCTGGCGGAGAGAACCATCAAAGCCATGCACAGCAGACAGCATGTCGTGGTTCGCAGCCTGTCTGGTGTGCTGTGCCAAAGCTTTAGCGCCAGCAGAGAGCGTGGCAGAGCCTGCAGGGAGCCGGAGGGGGCGCCGCAAAAA